CAACCATGAAGTCATGCAAGAGCACGACCGTCGACTCCGCTGTCTCCCGAAACGTCCTCCTGAGTTCACCGACGGTCCACTCCCGACGGATTCAAACACACCGTCCTGACCGACGGCATCGAACTCCACGATGTCCTCTATTTCCTCGACGTCCTCCTCCAACCGAAGATGTCGAACACCGTTCCTCTGATCACGAGTACAATGAGAGCGTCCCGATAGTGTCACAACCATGACGACAGAAAACCGACGACCTCTTCAAAAAAATTTTTCTCCTTCCAAACAAACGAAGACAATTTTCTAACACGCCGTGAAACACGACTTGATCGACAACGAACCTGAACGGACCCCAAACTTGAATCGCTCACAAACCTAACGGTCCTTACTTCTTTGCCTCACGAAAGTCCCTGATTCCATTTCTACAAGTTCCTTCGTTCACCGAGGACAGATAGCGACTGTGATCCGATAGGCGAGCAGGCGGTCTTCAAAGAAAACAAGCGAGAGCGGTCGACCGCCCTCACTTGTTGTTTTCCGCAGCACGAGTACGCACGTGTCTTTGCGCGGACGTCAAAGTTTCTGAAATGGTGCAAATTTCTGATTTTCATAGCTGGTAAGTCGCTGCCCAGTCTCGTCCAGGTTGAATATATGTATTTGTTATTTTATTATCAGCCGAGGGGGCTCGAAGCCCGTTATACCAATTTTAATGTTGATGAGGACAACATAGGTCCCACGATTTCCGGCTATATCTGATTCGCTTGTCGAATCGATGCCCTTCTCCTGTGTGAACTGGATGCCAGGTCGAATACCTGATGCCAGGTCGAATACCTGATGCCACGGTGTTGCCGTGAAGACGAGCCATAAACTATATGCCTCGACGTGCGACGCACTGAGCTCTAAGCCTACGGGCCTCCTGCGCATCACTATCGCGCGCTACTCGACATATTAGAATCTCGATGAATTGTCTCCCGAAGTGTCACCCCCTCGTACTGCTGGGGCTTTCTGAGACTACACGCTTTATGTCGACGATTTTACAGACAATGAGCGACATTCAACTGTACGAAGAGGAGCTCGATCCAATTGAGGACGACGACGATGTGAGACTCGAGGATGCGGTTACGTCGAAAGCCAACCCGCCCGAACAACCCTCACCCTCACCCTCAATTTTCGATGGTCTATTGGAAGATTCAAACGCTCCCGCGATCAAGTGGGTAAACGCAATAACTGAACTGCATACGCAAATTGCGCCGCACAGCATTAGTAGACTCGGCAACGATATTCACGGGTCTTGACCGACTCGATTCACAGCTCCAGCGTCCTGGCCGGTATGAAACGCATATTCGACGCAAAAGACAGCAAGAAGATGGCCGAGGAAATCGCACTGGCGTATTCCGAGCCTCAGGGACTGCAGTTCCTCGTACCAGAACCACTCCGCGACGTCGAGGCCCACCTCAAAGCCAGTAAAGCGTTCCTCGCCCTTAAAGCAGATACACCTCTCGTCAAGTTGGCTGAAACACACTCTCTGATGGCACGGCCCTTCCAACCAACCTACGCCACCAGGTACCTTGCATCTCTCCCTGGTAGACTTTGCTACCCCATGGGAACTTCTCACTTCCGACGACTGGATACTGAGCACGGTCCGGGGGTACCGCACCTCCTTCCTCTCCCCTCCTTTCCAACCATCTTTACCACACCCTATCCATTTCTCTCAGGATAAAACGAATAACATGGACACCTTAGTCGACGACCTCCTAGCCAAAGGGGCAATCATTCCAATTCCCCCACCGGGTGCGCTTCCTCTCGAACCTTTTCTTGGTCGCGAAGAAAGGCACCTCAAAGTTCCGCCCAGTTATCAATCTGAAACCTCTTAATGAATTCATCGTCAACGAAGAGTTCAAAATGGAAGGATGGTTGGAAATGACGGAGGCAGTTTTTTCCCGACTGCTACTTTATACGCATAGATCTGAAAGACGCCTTTCTCTCCATTCCAATACACACATCGAGTCAACCATACCTCGCATTCAAATGGCAGCACAGCACGTACTGATGGGCCCGACTACCTTTCGGACTGAAAACGAACCCGCGCGTCTTCACCAAACTTCTTAAACCTTTCGCGGCCAGCCTACGACAACGCGGCGTTGTCCTTATAGTATACTTCGACGATTTTCTCTTACTCGCAATTCACCATCTCGGCTCACAGAGCATACTGAGGCCACAACATCACTCCTCCAATCCTTAGGATACACAATCAATTCTGAGAAGTCCTCTCTAATCAGTGCACAACGCGTGACTTACCTGGGCTACAATATCGACTCCGCAACAATTAGGCTCTCAGTACCAGGAGAAAAACTCCTCCAAATCAAACGAGACATCAACTCACTTCTCGAAACTCAAAATACTACTCTTCGCACACTCTATCGCGTGTTAGGAAAATTGAACGCTCTTACCTCTGTTCCTCCCTGGCCAGACTCGTCTCGACTCCCACCCGCCGAACACAGAACACGGCCATAGTACAATAATTGCCACCCGACATTGCATCAGATCTCGCATGGTGGACAACACATCTCGATACGATCGCTACCGGACCAATCCAACCGCCGCTAGTGTCATTAGAGATTACCTCTGACAGCTCACTGCAGGGCTGGGGCGCTTGGTGTAGCCATGGAGCTACCGGCGGGGCATGGAATGACGATGATCGTCACCTTCATATAAATGCTCTGGAACTTGAGGCAATTTTTCTGGCGGTACAGAGACTGGCCAAGGAATGTTCCGATACTACAACTGCTATACGCACGGATGACACAAACGCCTTGCACAGTATTAACAATTTCGGCTCGCTCTAGTCCCCAAAACCGAATTCTTTGTCTCGACAAATTTGGGCATGGGCGTTCGAACGCAAATTCCACCTCAAAGCAACTTACATTCCTGGAGCGCTGAATGACATCGCGGATACGTTGTTAAGAACAGTGCCAGACAACCACAGTTACTCTCTACACCAAGCAACCTTCGAGCGATTGAATTCCATGCATGGACCTTTCCTAATCGACCTGTTCGCTGATTTCTCGAACCACAAAGTTGACACCTACTTTAGTTGGGTCAAGGACCCCTTCGCAATCAGCGTTGACGCTTTCCTGCTCCGATGGGATTCTTGGACCAACCTCTATGCCTTCCCTCCATTCAAGCTGGTTGATCGAACGCTCTCCTACCTAGATTCCTCTCCCACTTGCGAATTACTCCTAATATGCCCCCTTTGGCCGACGCAGCCATGCTTCCCACGACTCTTACAAAGATGCATCGATCAACCGATACTTCTTCCATCGGACATCAACCTAGTCCTCGACAGAACGAACACCCCCCATCCACTCATGGTCAGCCAGAGACCACAACTCGTAGCCTGGCGCCTAGCATCCCTGACCTCACACAAGAAGCGACGCACTTTCTGGAAAACGCTATCCGCCCAAGCACACGTAGCGCATACGACACATGCCGGCCCAACTGGATATTTTGGTGTAGACAACGAGATACCCCTACCCATAAAATTCCTATAAACCACATGTGTAACTTCCCGGCAGACATTGCAAACAGCGGATATTCCTACTCCGCCTTAAACTCCTTTCGCTCGGCCCTATCCTTCCACCTCGATCCCAGAGACACGTTCAAAGCGGGGAACCATCCTACCGTGTGCCGGCTCATGCGGGGCATCTTCAACACGAATCCTCCTTCGAAGCCCCGACCGCCGGTAAGAGACATCGAACTCGTCTTGACACACATGGACGCCTGGGGGCCCTCTGACACGCTTACGCTGCTACAGGCGACCTACCGCACACTCCTTCTCCTGTTGCTAACCTCGGCCGCCCGGGTAGGCGAAATCGCCGACCTTGTATTTCCACCCCTCTCGCAGCAGCCCCACGCCTGGGAATTCTCTTACGGTCGAGGCCTCACCAAGACCAGCAGACATGGCCACCACTCGCCCCCCTAACTGATAAAATCATAACCACAAAATGCCCTCCGATGCCCCATTTCGGCCCTTCGAGCTTACACAGACCTGACGCTCCCTTATCGCCTTCAACCCACTTCCTTATTTCTTACAACCAAGAAGCCGCACAAATCAGCCTCTAAAGACACACTAGCGCGTTGGGTGGAAAACGTCCTTAGGGACTCCGGAATCGACACATCCATATACACTGCTCATTCGACTCGAGCCGCTTCCACCACCGCGACACACCTTCGCGGACTTCAGCTCCCGGACATCCTCCAGACTGCCCGATAAACGAACGCGACCACGTTCTACGAACACTACTTCCGTCCCCCGGATCCTTCGCCCATGTCCTTCGCCGTGCTCAGTTCAGGTCGTTTAAATCAGGGGACGGCGACTTCTCCGAGTCCGCGGACCGTCAAAATCTGGTTTCTCCCCCGTGGACCGTCGAGCTGAACATCTATCCTATTTTGGCCATCTCAGGCATATTATCGTAGGTTTTCCTGTCGAGATGTCTTCCTGATTCCAATTCCGCTGTTTCCGCGCGCTCTGATGATATGAGCCGTCTTTTGTTGGAGCATTCCTCGCGCGGTTGTAGCATTGTCGTCTTCGTTTCTAAAAATATTGCCGTACTCTCGGTCACTTCGCTCCGTCCACGAACGTGATTGGTCCGAATCCTCGAAACGGCGCGTGGAGTCTGAGGTCTGATCGAGGACATTTGATGACCGCCAAAAGGCAAGCTCTCCCATTACTCTTCCGTTCACATTTTACATTGAAATATCGCAAATCGCAAGGACATCCGTGAATCGCTCGTTTGATCTCGCCTGTACATGTACACCTCGGAAACAAGTTCTTGCAAAAACTCCTTTTCTTAAGCTCGGGTGTCTGACGTTAGCGAATGTTAGGTCGCATGTGCAGTCTTGCACGACTTCGATGCTAAATAATTCGAAGCACCCCGAATCTTCAGAGCGCCTCGGCATGAGCGGGAAGAATCACGCGAATCAGGCTGATTCTTCCGAAATGAGTGACAATGATCAGGATGAAAGAAATAGTAAATAGTGACTGCATGTCCGGTGGCGATAATGGGAGTCAAGAATCGCGAAGCACACGAAATATCGCCGCGATCGTCGAAGAAAATCAGGGATCAAGTCACGCGAGCATCAGAAGGAAAAGTGCTTCTGCCGAGAATCGGCCCACGAAGAGGGCCAAATTTATCAGGAAGTACTCCTCGGACTATTTGGCCTTCGGGTTCGTCGTGGAGCCCGATAGCGAAACCGCTCCGCGGCCTCTGTGTCTTGTATGCGAGAAAAGTTTATCGAATGATGCGATGAAACCATCAAAACTTCTCAGGCATTTCCGCTCGCAACACTCAAATCTGGCTCTGAAGTCGATCGAGTATTTCGAGCAGCTCTATAAGGACATGCAGGAGAAGACGGAAGCCGAGAGCGACTCGATGAAAGAAAAAATACTGAGAGCTTCGTATGAAATAGCCTTATCGATTGCGAAAAACAAAAAACCATTCACTATCGGCGAAAAACTGATCAAGCCTTGTCTCATCACTGCCTCCGAAATACTCCTCGGTGCAGCTCAGACGCAGAAAATAAAGAGAATTCCCCTATCCGCTCGAACTATTCAGCGGAGGATGGTGAGAATGTCCGCTGATGTGGAGAGTCAGCTTGTGCAGATGATTGAGAACACCTCCCACTTCTCGATGCAGGTTGATGAATCGACTGATGTCTCCAATCGAGCCATCCTACTTTGTTTCGTGAGGTTCGCCGAGAGAACATCTATACGGGAAGAGTTCCTGTGTGCGCTAGATCTGCCGGGTAGAACAACAAGTTCAGCTTGTTTCACGGCTCTCAACGATTATTTTTCGAAACACAAGATAGACTGGAGGAAGTGTGTCGGGATCTGCACGGATGGCGCAGCAAACATGGTGGGGCGATTAACCGGGCTGGTCACCAAAGTCAAGCAACTCGCGCATCCCGATTTTATTTCATCTCATTGTCTCATCCATCGGGAGCAACTCGTAGCAAAGGGGATGAGTGCAGAGCTCCGTGGCGTTTTGACAATTGTTGTCAAAATTATTAACAATATCCGACACAAGGCGCTGAACTCGAGGCTCTTTGAATCGCTCTGTGAAGAGATGGATTCCGAGTTCAAAAATCTCCTCCTCCACGCCGAAGTCAGGTGGTTGTCGAGAGGCCGCATGCTTATGCGATTCTTCGCGTTGCGAGAGGAAGTGAGCATTTTCTTACGCCACCATAAGCATCCCGATGCTGAGAAATTGTCCGACAAAGATTGGGTCGCTGAGTTGGCCTATCTGGTGGACATTTTCTCGCTCCTGAACGAGCTGAATCTCTCACTCCAGGGAGACAATCAGGACGTCTTCACAATGAGAGGCAAGATGGACGCCTTCCAAAATAAGTTGTCGCTGTGGTGTACTCGGCTGGTCGATGATGATGTCTCCATGTTCCCAACATTCCACGCTTTCGTCGTCGAGAACGACATCGATGCTCGGACAATCTTTCCGTTGCTCCAGGAGCACCTCCAGTCTCTGACGGAGGCATTTGCATCGTATTTTCCGCCGGATGAGGATCCCAGAGTGGGTCGTATGTGGGTATTAGACCCCTTCAGGGCTATTATTGAAGACTGCAATCTAGGGACGAAAGAGAAGGAGATCCTGATTGAATTAT